ACACACCATCCACTAGATGAAAATACATATGAACAAATTATAGAACAACCCCATACCACAGCTTTTCAGTCTCAAAATAATAATTTTTTTAGCCCACGATGAGCCGACAACTTGGATCCCTACACCGCTCAAATTCCCACCCGACCAACCTCAACACTCCAATTACAATAATTCCACTTTTTGCTTTCCCGCCACCCGATTTCCCAACCAATAGTGTAACATCAGGCATGAATTCAGACACTAATTCACATATCTCAGTTTTATACTCCATCTCACAACTCAATAACCCAGATATTGAAACCCGTGATGAATTTGCAGACTCTGAACCATCTCCATCCAATAATTTTCAAAGCAACTCCTCAGTTTTTTCAAAACCCCCATTTCAACCAATCCCGCCAAATAACCCACTCCCATCGATTTCTACACCCTCTTATGCTTCACAAGTCACCCCAACCTACTCTTCATTTCATTCAGACCGATCATCCAATTCTCCAGATACTCCCCAAATCTCCCAGGAACTAGATAATTTTATCACCCTATAACAACAACCCTTCCACCTTGAAAATTCCACTATAAATCAGATTTCATCCACGATAGAATCATCAAACCCACCTACCCCTACACCCTCTTCAGCTTATACCGCATCATTAGCACCATCCTCCACATCCACCGAATCATCAAATAGCACTAATAGAGCTTATCGCACTTTTAAAAGAAAATTCCCGAACCATCCATTTCCAACAAAACCAGGAACAGCCCGTGAATATATTAATCATCCAAATCACACTAACACGAAAGATTTTTTAGCCATCACCCTACCTTCATTTCCACAGTATACTTTGAACACCCCTAACGACACTAACAACACACGCAGTTTTGTAGATGAACACGTTTTAATGCCTACACTTCAATGGACATCATATTATCATTTTACTAACCCCCTTTGCCTACCTTTATCTAATACTCACATCGATATAGAAAGAAATAAAGATATGCTATATCGACTCACCACACCACTAACACATAGGCAATTTACTTATATAGGATATAAAAAGTCACTAAAAACATACACTGCACCCCGAGCTAACGAATACACGCTAGAATATTACGATCACAACATCATCCGAACTAACCAAGACCAATTTTTAGATGATGACCGTTTCGCTAACCCACAAATAACAGAAAAATTTTTCATCAAAACACCATATGTATTTACACTCAATATATTTGATCGCAAATTCGACCACATCATTTCTGAAGCACTAACCGACACACAAGCTTACGAAAGTTTTAAAGAAAAATTTCAATTATTTTCACTAACCTTTCATTTCCTTGCACCACATGAACGAGATTTGCACTGCTCACACGATATTATGTTACGCACTAAACAAACCCACACATATACATATTATCGCTTCATACAAAATCACTTTGATCTACACACTCCATCAAGACAACCACACCACCGTTTTCATTTTATTAACTCTAGGTACACTTCACCATTTTTTCTTAACTTCACATATTGCATCAAAGATACTAACCTTCACGGTATTCTTCGCAATTATGATCCCATAACCCAAATGTATATTTTTTGTCCCATCACAAAGACCTTCAACGCAGAAGAATCCAGACCCTTCCTTATCCCACATGAATTTATTCAACCTATAGAAATCCCCATATTAGAATTCATCCACAACACTAAATATAACCACAAATTATATAATCTCATCCAAAACACACCTTATGATTTTGCAGTTGGCACTGAAGAACTAAAAACCATTAAAGCACTTCAATTGCTTTGGCCACTGCTTCAAACTAAAAACATCATTCGCATACTAGCAAAGTTACTAACGAATTCCGACATAATCCACGACATCTTCCCCCACGGTTTTTTCCCCGACGACTAACAGGTAAGTATAATTTATACATATTCTTAACTAATAAATTTAAAATAAAACACTAACCATTCTTTATCCATGTTTTATTTAGATTTTTAGTCTTCATCTCACAATCATCTGCAAAATACAATAAAGAAAAATAAAAAATCGAAAACTTCTTCAAATTCTTCAAAACTCTATTAATATTTAACACTAGATAAATTCAATAAAATTCATACCAATGTAGTAAATTAATTTATAAATTATTTCCCTAAAAGCAGTAATTCTAATAATGATGAAAATTTGTAACTTAATTTTTCCCCAAAACTAGCAGTAAAATTGAAATTCTATGTAGTAAATTGATAAGACGAAAATGCAGTACTAACATTTTGATATTTCCATTCACTCGCACAAGAATTCTATCCATACTCGCACAGCTCGCCCACGAAGAATTGTTTAAATACTGAATTTCAGTTTCAAGCTTTCACACTCAACAACTCTAACACACGATAACAAGTTTCAAACTTTCCTTTAACCCGGTTGGAAAGGAATTATATACTAAACAAAACTAACCAACGCAGCTTACTAAACACCACAACACATAGAATAACAGCATGACTAAGAAAAGGAAACCAACGGTGCCCAAACCGGATTAACCCAGTTTAAAACTGGATAATTTATTCTTTTGAAGACTATTATAAAGTCTAAGAAAGAAATAATAAAACACAAAAAAGTCGAAAGACAAACCCATACCAAAAACAATTTGATTTTTGAAAAAAGGACAACCAACGAAACATAAGAAAAACCACAATAAACCCAACATAAAACGTTATCACATAACAGGACCCCTCACAGAAACCGCACGAAATCATACTCCCACTCCTGGCCTAACCCACCAGAGAGGACGTCCTATAGCGCATGCTCTATAGCCGGCCTAACCCACCGCGCTACATCCACGCTTTGTGACCACACTTCTATTTTTAATAAGAGGTACTCAAGGGTGAGTAACTCTTCAAAATAACTGAACTAAAACAAAAAGCTTTTGTGAAAACAACTAACCAAAATCATAATTAAAACACCAAACTAATAAAAATTTTATAAAATGTAAATTATACCTTGCAGTATATAGATCAGCATACAACACCAAAGACGAACATCCAAAGACAAAATGACCCCACTACACTCGAAAAAGAATGGCCAACCACAATCAATATGCCGCCCACAATCACAACTCAAAGGATTTAGAGTACGACTTGACTTCGCAGAAAAGGACTTCATTGAACTAGACCAATGACCACCTCGATGTTCAAGTATACGTACAGATCCGAGTAACCAGGCATCCCCTCCACGCACAATCTCCACGCCATTCCCAGACAAGGTCAACCCAAAAGAAGTTCTCTACATGGAACAGAAAAACCTGTCATAGCCAACCATTCTGAAATCAGATTTGAGTTTGTTGCGAAAACCCAGTCGTTGTCATGAGAAGACACAGCGATTGAACCTGGAACTTCTCTAACACGAAAACCCAGAAGAATTATGATGTTCGCCAAATACCAACGTTCATCATCCATCCTTTGAATTACAGAAGACTATTCTAAAAAACTCTGTAAAACCCGGATGGGTGGAACCTGATCTAAACTACATTTTATGATTGGATAAATTAGATATTTTACCATTTTAAAGTATTTAATATTAACCAATCATGATCCATCTAACTAACAACCCACTTATTTGTAAGTGCTGAAATTACTTGTAATTTCAGCACCAGAGAGATTTGAATTTAACTTAGAAATTAGTTGACTCTCCAAGAGAGCTTCAGCAGCCGCAATAAACCAGTATACCCTAGATCTATTGAGCCTAGCAGAGACTAGTTAAACAACCTGAGACTAGATAGTATAAGAGTAAGATTAGGATCGGTATTAGACTAAGAAGTTGCACGAATCTATCCGGCCGAAAATAAGATAGCGTGACGAGCAGACGGTGTACCCTATCCGAAATTACTCTATGAGTTAACCACCTCGGTTATAACTCACAATCATTAGTTTTTAGCTGACATATTGGTTGTGAAAAAGCATTTTGTCTAGAGAAAAAAAGCACCCCGAACACAATTATTCCGTCACTTTATTCACAAATTGTATTAAGACTTGCATGATAATATTCGGTTGTCTATTGAAAAAACAATTTTAACAAAAATTGTATAAAAAAGACACATGAAAACGGGCTGTGCTGGTCTTAGTGTGTTCACCCATACGATTCATATTGATTTTTTCTAAAACTATTTAACTATTTAACTATAGACTCCTTGAATTTAAATGAACAAAATATTTCACTTGCAGTCTTTTTAAAGAAATTTTCTGATTAATCTTTAACGCATAAAGCAAATTATTTATGCTCGGCGATTAAAACCGAACTCAAAACTGTTTCAGGTTTAGTCGGGGAAAATTTTAACAAGCATTTGAACAAAATGAGTTCTTTTTCACTTCTTTTCGAAATTTTATTTTAGATTTGATGAATGACAAGGGGACAAATCTGATCTAGTCAGTGAACTTAATAACAACCAAAACAAACGAAACGAAGGCATTTTGGCGGGTAATTGAATGAATAAGACTGTAAACGAATAATTATTTCACATCTTGCTTGCCCTCAAATCAACCAAAAATAAGATTAAATTCTGTAGTAAAATGTAATTCTTTTTTTTCGACTAATAATTTTCTTCTAATTGGTTGCCTTGCTTCTGCTTTGTTTGCTTAACTGTTTCTCATAATTGCCTATTTAGTTCACTGTCAAGGTTAGACCCGTCTCCTTGTCATTCAACAAAGATTTTAATGAAAATTTTTCTATGGGGCAGTCGGAACATTCAAGTTTTCTCCTTGATAAAAGTGTTCTTTTCTTGTTCAGTTTACAAAACAAATGAATAAAAATTTTGGTCGAGATTGCTACATGATTAATTTTATGCGCTCATTTGCTTTTACTGGCGTCAAACTGTTTTTTACTCCAAGATGCACGGCCGACCTCAATCGAAAGTCACTAAGGCCGACTTTGCTTATTTTTTATTCAGCACGTCGGAAAACAACTTTATTTTTAAATATTGTATTAGAAAACATGCCTAATTTATTGTTTCAGATATCTTCAGTACCCGAAAAGTGCGCATCTTTCTCTGCTCTATCGTCACAGTCGCATCCCTCCGATCCCTCCCCTACGTGCTCATCTGTTGGTACGTTCCCATAGCCGAAAACTACGGCGAAGACACTGCCCAAATGATGCACACCTTCGTCACTTACGGGGTGTTTCTATGGTGTAAGAGCATCCTGGTGTTCTGTGATGCCATTCTGATGATGGTGGCGTACCCTTTGATCGGGTGGAGATTGCGAGCTATGACTAATAGAAGACGACAACAGACTCGAGGCATCAGATTGGCAGTGAGTCATCAGAATGTAGTGTCAATTAGGAATTAGATAATTGAATTGAAACATTTGCTTATACAGTTCAATTTGTGTGAGATTTTTCAAAAAAAACAACCGAATGAAAAATAATCATAATCTTTTTATCAACAATTCAAAATTCACAAATCTAGAAAATTTAAAGTAAATGTTTTCCGTTTTCAAATAATTTCGATCTAAATAATACAACAGATATTGGATCTTTTTAAATTACAAAAGGAGTCCTGCAATTTACAAGAGCTTAAAGGGCTTTTCTTGATTAACTTCTTTGTCTTATTTTTGACCATTGTTATTTCGACACGAGAAATCACATTGAAATCTTGTTTAGAGTCTGATGGTTGCGTCTGCTACCACCGATGCTGACTGCCTCACAGTCACCGCCGATACAAAGGTCAGATCATCCTTACTTTAGGAGGAGGAAAGATTCCAATCTTTTTCATCTTTTTGATGGATATTTGGAAAACTCTTTTCTACAGTATCTAGTCGAATTCATAATTCCATTTTAGGAGAAGCTTTAATTGAGTCCGCAGTAGTTTTGCCTTTCTATATTATTGGCGTATATTTTTGATATGAGCCAATATGCACAATTTTTTTTCTCGACTCATCTAGAAATTTTGTTTCATGTGCTGCAGGAATCCCGAGCACCCAATCCGATTTGTTCTTCATTCCAATTCGGAAAAGACTCCTCTTACCACGACAAGAGCAACCGACTCCTGGTCCCGAACAAGCCCCCCGTCGGTGAGCCCTTGGGGGACGCCTGCAAGAAACTGACTCGGTTGCAGAAACCCCCGACTATTTGCGGGTACAAAGCAGGGACTCCTGCAGCTCCCAAAGGACCCCCACGAACCCTTCAGAAAGCAGTGATGAGTGGAAGCAGTATGGGAAATGGCAAGACTGAAGACCGCAACGACAATAACGAACAGCAACCGCATCGACCATCAGACAGCGCAGTTACTGCTACCCTTTTTCTAGTCTGTGCAGTTTACATGTTCCTAGTGCTGCCGGATTCAGTGATGGAGTTTTGCCACATGTACCAGATCGGACCGGAGTTTCCAGATAGTATTATGTTCTGGACCACCGTTCTGTTTAATTTCTATTTTGTCATCAACCCACTTTTGTATTATTTTTCGAACAAGTATTTTCAGTGCTATATCAACAATATCTTCAGAAGATCAGCTATCTGAGTTTTTGTGTTCCAACTTCTTCAGAATTTCAACGTACTGAACCCTATTTATTAATAATTTCTAATTACATTAAAAAAATCGATATAAGAGTGTTGTTGCTCCATTTGTTTTGATATCTCCATTTTCTATTAAAAAAACTGATATACCATAAAAAGAATAACATTTTACGCTACCTATGCTATTAAACTTCACGTATTTTTTCTTGTAAATGCATTGATCAAAAATAAAAGTTTAACTCATTGTTAGTTGGAAGATATCTATATCTAAAAAACTTTGCATACCAAGTCCTATCCAATTGCCAAGCATAATTACTTTCGATTTCATTTCTTTCATGAAAAAGTCATAATGTAAGTCAAAATATCACAATATTTTTTTTGTTTTTAGTGTTTCAGCAATAAATTCTCAATTGGTGCTCAGGAATATGAATTAATGCTGCTGACAATAAATCAAATTCAAAAAGTAACAGACATGATCCAAAATTTTGTTGAAGACAAAATTTGTGCAATATCACTTAGAGTTATTTAAATCACAAGTCTAAAAAGCATGATAATAAACAAAAAATTGTAATTACTTTAGATTTAAATTCATGTTCTTTTTCAGATGTTCATAAAAGGCTCGATGAGAACAAGAAGAAATAGCACTGAAAACTCCAAACACATCAAAACAATATTTAAAAGACAATATCATAAGTAAGGCATAATTGGCTTCACTTGTCGTCGAAAAATGAACAACAAAATTTTTCGCTCATACAGTTTTTTTGGTGTTAAGAAAGTTTTAGCCGAAAAAATGTTGTCTGAAGCTTCAAAAACTAAATTTCTTTGAAAAGAAAATCAATTTCACCGCTTCAATAAACTCTGATTTGAGACCTACCTACTCGCTCGCTTCTCTCGCTTGCTCGCGACTACATCTAAATCTTGACATTTTAACCCAATTTTTCTTAACAAGAAATTTTTTCAAATTTTTTTGATTTGTCCAATTCACGACTGAAAAAGCCCTTGTATGATAGATCTCTCCACCGGCTCTAATGATTATCTGCGGTGCCTGGGGGGTTGCTTCTTAAAAAATAAGCATGAATTTTAATCAAGTTTTTAAAATTCAATATTTCAATGATCGTTTCATAAATCGAAATTTACGCGGATTCGGATTCAATCAGATTAAAACGAGCGTTGCATCGCACATTGCGGTGTTAAATCAGTAAAAGAAGGTAATCATTGAAGCAATTGCTGTTTTTTTTTCATCAAAAAAGGAATATGATACCATCGAAATAGTGACCATCGAAAATGTTTTTCTGGCAAAAATAAACAGATCTTGCCTTGGCTCAGCTATGATTGTAATTGACACGGACATGTATGGCAAATGCCGGACTTGATTTTTTTTTACAACATATCGAAATTTGCAGTCGAGCGTGTTTGTCTATCAACAGATCGGCAAGTTTTTGCTGCATATATGCATTCGCATCAACCTAACACTCTTCTGTTTTAAGCAATTAGTGACAGACTTGAGCGAGAAAAAGAATGTAAGGATAAAGTAATGGACAGCATGCTGCATTTAAAAACCACTAGGTTATGGGTTCGAGCCCCATCGATTGATGACCCAACAAGAAGATTAGAAATATGCTGCTCTGACCCGAAATCGGAATTGAGTCCCGTAAGAACATATTTGTTTTTGCTAAACTCTTAGTTTTATAAAAACGGCCTTGGTTGACCTTAAGTGACAAGTTTTCATAGAAAACCGCGATTCCGACATCCAAGTTATTACTGAACACTATATCGCTTAGACTCAGTTTTACATAAAAATTGTGAGATTAACTTTTTCAGTTTGAAGCTGAATTTCTCTTGCAGTAATTGAGCCGAGAAACTTTTTTCATCACTTTAAGCAAAACTTCAGCTATTTCCTACGTTGGGTCAAATTATCAGTAGCTCACTTCAACTACTATGATAAATTGATCCAGAATCACAGCAGTTTTTTTGAAAAACAAGAAAAAAGAAAACACTCCATCATAAAACTTTGTTAACTTAAGTATTTGCAAATTGTTTTTGCAACCCATGTCAGAAGCTTCAAACTTTGTGTTTGGCAGAGCTGATTCATTTCAAATTGGCCGCGCAGCGATTGGCCCTTAAAACTTTTGGCCTACTGACTGGTCAAAAAACAGATCAGGAAGGAATACCGAACTTGCTAATTCTCTACTAGCACATAATTACATAATATATTATTGCCCTTGATAATAGCTTCAGGCAATTGCAGTACCATAATAACAAAATGGGTTGGAAAAAGGCAGAAATTATGTCAAATAACGTATTTTGACAAATATAAGTGAATTTTGCATAATATGACCAATATTCGGTTCCAGGGCTGAAGTGCCGCTCCAGTGACTGATATCGCGACCGAAACGGACGAAGTTAGTTGCCACTTGAGTCTAACAGGGTTGAAGGGAAAGTCGACGAGGGTCAAACAGGGTTGCAAAATGAGGCAAAATCTATGTAAAATTTCTGGAAAAACATTCCTGGTAAAAGTAATGCTTGCTGAATTCTGAAACTTCAAGATGTAACCAATTTTTGTAGTTCCTCTCAAATCAGCAGTTTAACAAAAAAATTAGCCTTACAATTCACAGTTTTTCTTTCCAAATAAAATATCAGATGAGGAAGCAATGACTTGACTGACTGCTTTTCTAGGGTAGCAGACTCGATAAAGAAAAAAAACGATACAAGAAAAAGAACACTTTAAACTTTAAATATTTTTGATAAAAACAAAATTCGGGGTGCAAAAACTTATTTTCAATTTTCAGCGGTCGGACCAAAACCTCCAATACCTTGAAAGACATGTTGTGACATCTCTAACCTAAAATAGATTTCTGTTTGAACAACTAACCGTATATCAAGTTTTGATCAATCACATGAGGGCCGCTATCACAAAACTTACAAAAGACATTAATAAACTAATCGAGAAAATACCAAACGGCTATGCCGTTTTCGTAGATCTGGAGAGGTAATTATGACATTCTTGACGAGAAACGGTGAGTTTTAGGCTTCGGCAGGAAATATGGTAACTTTTTAAAAAACTACCTGAAAAACAAAAGCACTATGTTCGAAATGGTCCCATATTTTTTCACTAAAATACGAAGTGCAGTGTGCCGTAAGGCTCAATATTATGTCTTTTATTGTTTCTGCTTTGTATAATTGATTCACCGGATCCTTATACAAAATTGAAGTGACACCTTTTGCGGACTAAAACTATGATAGATAGCGGCCCACTAACATTCAAAAAAACTAAATTTCAAAGCGAGCTGTTGAAAGAAGATGACCATGACTGGTGCAGAGCTAACGAAATGGCTATTAACACCAGAAAATTTATATTGATGGAAAATGGGATAATTTGCAATAGTAAACATCATTTTAAATAAGAAGATAACATGCTTTCCTCTCCAAATAATTTGAAACACTTATGTACTATGTTAGACAAAACATTGAAATATAACGATCGTGTAAATAATTTATGCATCAAAATAGCCAAACTTTTTAAAGTTTTTTATCGCGCTTGGAACTGATTTTTTCTAAGCTTCCTGATTCCAGTTTTTTAAAATAAATTTAGTTCCAGTGATTTCAAACGGTCTGCTAGTTAATAGATGCACGTCTGATGAAAATCTAAATAAAAATTTGTTGGCTCAAAAAATGTCGCGTATTATTTCGTTCAACAGAAATTTTGACCCTAGTAGTAATGCATCGTGTTCTGGATCCTAAGGCGGGGGTCCTCACATAAAAAAATTCCTAGGAAAGGGGTCCTTAATTTTTTGGAGGACCCTAAAACTAGGATTTTGTAAAGGAAAAAATTTTGCACCCATTGAGCAGAAGACTCCCTACTTAGAATCTTGTTAAGCTTAGCTTAACAACAAGGGACACTTTACAAAATTCTTTCTAATTCCAATTTTTGGGGGTTAAATTTATTGGTCCTGGTTAATTATATGAAATCATACTATTTGATATATTTGTTTCGGGCAAATGAATTTTCGACCTCGTTAAAATTTGTTAGTGAAAGGGGAATTGATTTTTATGGTATGGAATAAAAATTCAACTGCAATTTTGGCCGCGTGGCCTAACTGTTGGCAGCAGTGAACTATTTGCCCAACTTGAGCTATATTTTATGGGGAAAAGGCAGTAAATTGATATCACTCTCTAAAGGTGGCGGCCCGTTCTGTGCAATTTATAGCAAATGACCATTTTGTCAAATTTCTAAATGAGAAAAATGAAACAGGAGGGATCTTGGTGTACTGAAGATAAGGATAATTAACGTATACAATATAGAGGAAATTCATTATTCAAAAAAATTAAAGTTCCAAACCGTGGAGGAATAGTATGCCGCGTTTCTTAAGAGGGTAATGGATGTTTCAATGCGGAAAGGACGATTGGAAAAAGGCAAAGGGGAAAGGAACATGAACAAATGCACCAGGTTTTTTGCAAAAACTTGTTGCAATTTTACAAAACAATAGTGTTTCCGGTGGTTCATTTGATTTTGTACCACCGGAAACAAGACAAGTCTAAAAGTATCTGCTAGGTATCTGTTATCTACACTGGCTGAAAATTAGCAGGTTGGAGAGGTGTTGGAAAAAAACTGGATAAAATCTGTTCAAATTGGATAAAGTCGAGTAACTCCATTTGACTTAGAAATAAGTCAAGAAGTGTATACATTCTTCAAACAAATGTATTAAGAAACTTTGAAGCGAAGAAAAATTTTCTAGCTGTTTTTCAGTTTTGTTTTCTCTAATAACCTTATTTACAACGTTTTAATTTAGTTGAGACCTTTTGGCGCCTTAATTGGTTTCAAAAACTGTTCCTTGCAAAAAATAGTTGAACGACTCCTAGTTTTTATGATTGCACGCTTTTTTGCACGATGCAGCCGGAATAAAACATGAACTTATCAGGAGTGTCAAATGTACTGTTATAGGTTGCCCTGGAACTATAACAACAGCTTTCTGGGCCAATTGAGAGAATAATTTCTTAACTTCTCATTAACTTGAAAAAAAAAACAGAAGTCTATCATTGAGTATATTAGCTGCTTAGTGTTATGCAGATGCGTTTTGAACACTAGAAGTCTTAAGCTCTGTCATGTGCACACCACTATATGTCTAGAAACGATCGATCTCGAATTGGATTTTTCTCCCCCTGCCAGAAAAATAATTGGACTTTTGAGACTACCTGCAACTTTTCAGCAGTCTCTTTATAGTTAATGTCCTTGAGAACGGTTTCACGGCTTGGATAGCGTTCTTTTGAGCCGCTCAGTAATTCAATGAATAACTGCAGACTTTCTTATTTGCCTATTTATCGTTAGTAACTGATTCCTTACTTACTTTTTTTCTGTCTGACTTATCCTTGACTTTTTTTTTCTGTTTACCCACTTCCTCAATGAGTTTACTCACACTACCTAACTTTTATTTTTTACTTTTTTTTTACTTTTGATTCAATCTATTTTCACTCTGCGTTTTACTTGATTATTTTTTCGCTTTCATTAACTTTTTTTGGTGTTATTCGAACTAATTTTTTTT